GTTTAGGCTCTTGAAACCCAGCTCTGCCACATACTAACAGGGTAGTGTTGGGCAAAGGGACTGAACATCTCTGAGCCTCAGTTTTCTCATCTATAAAATGGGTTTCACAGGTGTATTAATGAAGAGACAATATATGTGAAGTGCTTAGCATATGCCCCAGCATATAGTGAGTACTCTATCAGTGGTAGCTCAAGTATCTTTATTATAGACCTCAGAAAGCCACAGGTTGTTGGGGAAAGAGCTCGGTGTGGCCTAGTGCATTGCAAATTGTCTGGGTTCAACCTGGAAGTCTCCATCTTTGCCCACATCCACTCTCCTTTACGATGATGGGTTCTAGATTTTATGTGGCTACAGCTGGAAAGCATGCTAGAGAATCTCACAGAGCTGGAGTCCAATCCAGGCGCCCCTCTTCCTGGATAACCTCTCTTGAACCTCTCACCTCTCTTGCACTCTGTACGTTGTCCTTTGGTGTGACTTTGGATGAGTGAGTAAACTTCTCTGACCTCCTGGTTGCTCATCAGGAGCTGGAGATGATGACCACTCAATAGGTATCCTTTTGCATCACCATGCTGCTGTGCCTCCAGCTCTCCTGCCCATCTTCCAAACTTACGGTCTGGCCTCCTCATCTCATAGGGAAGCATGTTAGCAGCTAGTCAAGGTAGCAGCTCCAGGTGTACCCTGGGCAGAAATCTTGGGGTTTAGGGAACAGAAAGAGACTTTTTCGATTTTCTGGTCCAATATCTTGAACAGGTAGAGATACTGAGGCCCAGAGACAGGAAGAAGCTTGCCTGCCTCTGGCTTTCCCAGCAGGCCCTATTTGCTAGCAGCATTTGAGCCAGTCTGAGTCAGGGCAGCAGGGGTGATGGGGGAAGAGGGGGTGTGTCTCTTTGCTTTTACCACATGGAGGATTTCATGTCCTTTCAGCGCTGATGGAGGAAAAATGAACTTTCTGCTCAATTAGTGTGCTTCGTGTTTTCTCCTTCTAAAAGGTTTAAAGGAAATGCCACAATTAGAAGCCGCTGCTGTAGGCAAAACAGAAACTCCCCAAACGCTCTTTGCGAGGACTAAATGAGAACAGTGAACTTTAGAATGTGCAGATGCCTTGCAGGATAACAGAGTGCACTGTCGAGAGGACACTGTGAGGAATATTAGATGACATTTCCCTTTATTCAGAAATTACTGAGAACATGTGCCCTGCTGGTGGTAAAACATTGCCAAGGATGCCACCCTCAACATTAGACTGGCGCCTCTCCTGGACTCGAAGCCTGGTGCTTTGGTGATTCTGGTGCAGTGAGGATGGGGAGTGTAGGAACAGCCCTGGGCTTATGCCCGGGAGACCTGGGTTCAAATCCTAGCTCTGCCTCTGACAAGTCACAGGATCCCAGACTAGTCACCATGATTTGCACCCTTCTTTCTGAAGGGTTCAGACAGACCCTAGTTTGAGTTCTGCCTATTCTCTGAGCCCTCTGTGTACTCTCTAGCACAGCAGGTGTAAATCCTGCCACGCCAAGCGCTCTGGGCTGCTGTAACGTGTGAGTGACGTGATACAGGTCAGCATGCCCAGCATAGGGCCTGATATTTGGGAATAGCCAGCTTTCACACTGTGATAGTATGTTCGAGAAGAGTAGCAACCATTGCCATCATTTTTACAGATAAAGAAACTTGCCAGGCATAGTGGTTCACGCCTGTAATCCCAGCACTTTGGGAGGCCGAGGCAGGCGGATCACAAGGTCAGGAGATGGAGACCATCCTGGCTAACACGGTGAAACCCTGTGTCTACTAAAAATACAAAAAAATTAGCCGGGCGTGGTGTCAGGCACCTGTAGTCCCAGCTACTCCGGAGGCTGAGGCAGGAGAATGGCATGAACCTGGGAGGCGGAGTTTGCAGTGAGCCGAGATTGCGCCACTGCATTCCAGCCTGGGCGACAGAGCGAGACTCCATCTCAAAAAAAAAAAAAGAGAGACTGTTGTTCACATTACGTCACAGTTAATGCGTTAAAGAGATGAGATTACAACACAGCTCAGGGCCTCTTTCTACCTTGTGGGGTCTCTCGGAGTAGAAACACCCCCATTCCTCTCTGGCAGGCACTGAGAAGTCCAGCCAATGGCCAACCCCGTCTCTGGACCTAAGCTGGATTTTCTGACAGCACCTGTGACCGTAAGCCCCGTGCCCAACATTTCTCAGACACCTTTCCCCAGGCAGTGGTGACATAGAGAAAGCCCAGAGACCTGAAACCAGAGGGGCTGGTTCTGTCTGGCTATAAGCAAACAGTGTCAGCATCCATAACCCAACTGGAGGAGTCTAGTTTCTTCTCTGGGTCCAGCCCTCAAGCAGCTGTGAAGAAAGCACAACTCATTGCTCCTACTTTACAGAAGAGGAAACAGAGGCTCAAAGGGGCTTAGAAACCTAAGGCCATGTTGTCAGGGAGGGGCAGAGGCTGACCCTGCCCAGCTCCTGGACCACTGTTCTTTCTTGACCCTTCTCAGCCAGTTGCTCCAGCTAAGCTTAGAAGTTCTCCGTTTGTACCCAGGTGCTAGGCTGATGATGCTGAGACTATCTGGTAGCAAAGTAGGAGACCAAGGCCAATTCAGAGGGGCCAGTGGCAGGCGGCCTACATAGCTGGCGAGAGAGAAGTTTAGGGAGCCCTATCTGGCCCTGGGTGTGTGACAGATCAGGAGTGAAGGACTAGGGCAGTGGGAGTAGAAAGGAGAGGCATATGAAGGTAGAATTGATGAGAGGGAGGAGGAGTGAGGAGTCAAGGACCACATCCAGATTTCGGAGCAGCTGGGTGGATGGTGGCATTCCCGGCTGCAATGTAGACCTGGAAAAGACCCAGGAAAACAGACTCCCCGCAGCTCAGCTTCCCCCTTCCCTCTGCCGCCTAAAACCCAGAGGCAAGAGGTGCCTGCACTCATTGTGCCTCACTCTGCCAGTTCACGGCCCAGTGCACCACCCCCCAACCTGGCAGTGCCAGACGTGCCTGTCAACAGGCTGGGGTTCCCCCTCTGAGCCAGGGATGCAGCATTGCCCTTTGTTTTACCGGAGCTCCTTGGTCTTCTCCAGCATCTGAGCAGCCCCGATTACATTTCCAGCCGGTTTTTAATTGTCTCATATCAGCCCACATAAATCTGCCTGTGCAGCTCCGCCACCGGGGAAGCATTCCAACTGCCCGTCCATCTCCAGGAAACCTCTCGTGCCCCGGGACAGTTGCCTTCTGAGGCACTGGGTGGTCTCTCCAAATGAGAAAAACATTTCTTTCCAATCACATTTCTAACATCTTGTTAATTTGAATTATTTAATAATATTTTTGCAAAAGCCATCTGGGAATGAGTTGGTTGGCGACTTGGGAGAAGGCATACAGGGTGCTGCAGGGAAGGCCACGAGGACAGCTGCAGACGTCACATCTGCCATCAGTGAAAGGGTGGCTGCATGGAGAGAAAGGCTGTGACCAGGAGCCCAGGGATCATAGCCTGAATCCCACCATTACCACCAGCCAGGAGGTCACCAGTAAGTCACTTCCCGTCTCAGCCTCCAGCCCTGAGGCCCAGATTTGCAATGGCAGTGGAGGCTCTCGTAAACTCTGAGAGGCTGCACAGATGCAGGTGGGGTTGTTTGCAGAGCCTTTGTGCTGTAGGGGCTTATTTTACTGATAGCTGGGTAAGTGATGCAAAGGCCCTGCGGGAAACATGATTGGCCCTTACCTAGAGGCATTTGGTGGGGCTTGATGCCACTAACTTCACACGGTAAAATCCCAGTGTTAAGGCAGGGCCTGACTGTTCCCCAGACCTTTGGGCAGTCAGAGCCCAAAGGGAGTTGAATCATCCAGGTCAAGACCCTGGCATTCAGGTGGGGTCAACTGAGGCACAGGGAGGGAAGAGGACGTTCCTGAGGTCCTGTGGAAGGCTGCTGGTAGAGCCCCTAGATGTCCCAGCTCCCACCCCAGGGTTATCACTCTTTGGAGCCCCGTAAGCACTGTATTTTCTTCTCTCATTTTCTCCACAGACATTGTCAGTACTTGAGGCAGATTTATAAAATCAGATGTCAAATTTTATAGCCCTCGTTTTCGCTCCCGCAGTTCAAATGTTAGGGCTATAAAATGAGGTTTTGTTGTGTGTGCGGCACGCTGGCATGCACGCGCCCTTGCCCTCTGCTGGAGCGGAGGCCATTCCATCCACGGGCCTGTGTCTTGCGCCTGCCCTTCTCTAGGAAGCTCCCCTGTGAGCAGCCTCCATCCTCCTTCCAGCACAAGTGTTTTCTGCCACTTTTAATAATGCTTTGCTTTTTTTTTTTTTCTCTCTTTATCTTTTTAAAGATTATTTCACCCAAGAGGAATATCAGAAACAATTGGGTTTGGCAAAGCCAGCTTATTACACATGCTTTAATTAAAACCATTTTTTAATTTTAATTTTATTTTATTTTTGCCATTTCCTTTGGAAAATCCACATTCTGTTTATGGCGCAGGCAGCTTGGAGATCACCCTGCCACATTTTAAGCACAGGCTTTCAGGGCAGGGCTTATAGACAAGCCAACAGCAGGGTTTTCACCACTGAGCTTTTATCGTGCCCTGGGCTGTCAGCTGGGTGAGGAGACAAAGACACATCAGACTCTAAGTTCACAGTCTAGACAAGGAGACAGGACGGTAGGGAAGTACTGTGATGGACAGAGGTGTGGCAGAGGACAGAGTGAGGGAGGAAGAAAGTAAGCCTGACTAGGGGCATCTTGGAAGTCTTCCTGGAGGAGGGGCCAGTTGAGGAGGACTTCAGATGATAAGATTTTTGAGAAGAAAAAACTGGGGAAGTTATGGGGAAGCAACAGCGAAGTACAAGGACGTTTAGGTTGGAGATTAGAGGAAAGGCCTATGCAGTGTCCTTCCTCCCTAAGGTCCCAGCTTGGCTAGGGTGGCCGGCTGTTCAATTTTCCCTTGGAAGTGATAGAGCCTCTCTCTGTTTTGTAAAATGTCACCCAGTTTTTGTTTCTAGGTTTAGAACTGAGGTGCATAAAATGTTATAGCTCTTCTAGAATTTGTCCAGCAGGTTTTCCAGTTTTTACTAGAAAACGCCCAGGAAGAAATCTAGGTACATAAACCCTGGGACCTTGCTTTCTAAATTTGCCGTCTAACATCTGATTTTTACCCTCAGGGTTGTAGTGTGAAATGATTTGTCATCTGCTAGGAACCTTTCTTGGCTGAGGGTTCCTTTGGGAACGTGTCTTTCGGTCTCAACACCCCAGAGGGCCTGGCACAGGATAGGTACTCAGGAAACATTTGGAGATGGTATTCAGGAGAAAAATAATCACAACATTCAAAATGAGCCATGACTGTAATAAAATCAGTTTACAAAGTTCAGCCCAGTCGGTGACCGTATGTCACATGCTTGCACGCATGTATGTGGGAAAATATAGAAAGGCACTATGCCAAATTGTGATTAACCACTATCTGCGGTGATGAAATGGCAGGGTTTTACCTCCTTTTGGTTTATTTTGGATTTGTGTTTTCTGGATTTTCCACAGTGAATCTCTTTTATAATGGTGTTTTGTTTTGTTTTTTGAGACAGAGTCCCGCTCTGTCACCCAGGCTGGAGTGCAATGGCATGATCTTGGCTCACTACAACCTCTGCCTCCCAAGTTCAAGCAATTCTCCTGCCTCAGCCTCCAGAGCAGCTGGGATCACAGGTGTGCACCACCATGCCCAGCTAATTTTTGTTTTTTGGTTTTTGTTTTTAGTAGTAGAGATGGGGTTTCACCATGTTGGTCAGGCTGGTCTTGAACTCCTGACCTCAGCTGATCTGCCTGCCTTGGCTTCCTAAAGTCGCCTGGCCTATAATAGAGGATTTTTTTTTTTTTTTTTTTTTTTTTAATGAGGCAGAGCAGGAAGTTCTTTGGCTGTGGAGTTAGGAAACCCGTTTTCTGGTTCCAGCTCTGTCTTGAACTTTTCTTTGTGACTTCTCTGTGCCTCAGTTACTTGGGGGTACTTTAACTGGCTCAGTAGAGAAAGAGCATAGAGTATTGTGGCTAAGAAGGTAGACCACCTGGAGCCAGAATCCCTCCCTGGTTCAGATCTCCATTCTGCATCTTACTAGCTGTGTGGCCTCCATTTCTACATCTGTACGATGGGGAGAATAATAGTTCCTACATCTCAGGATCGTTGTGAGGCATAAATGCAATCGTGGTGCAGGACCACGATTTTGTACACCCTGAAGCCCTAGTCAACTCTCTCTGGCTCCCCACAGCAACCTCACTTTACGCTCAAGGAGACAGGTTTAGAGGGATTGAGGGGCTCACCTGTGGCTCCACCAACCCTCCACATCCCAGCCCTCCATCCCTTCAACAATTCCCCACCACCTCCCAGTCTGCCAGAGAGCAAGCTGTGTGCCCATCATTTCCTCCTGGCACTAAAGGTGTATGCCCCACCAAGGCTGAACACAACCTCGCAGGGAGAAACGCATTTGCACGGTGCTGGGCAGGCTTTTCTTAGCTCCTGGTATAGCTGGTGTTAGGAATTGACTTGAACAGGCATCCGCAGAGTGTTCTCAGAGGCAGGAAGAATGATGCCAGTAACAGTGAATAGAAACTCGAGGCAGTGTAGGATTCTGACACATCAATGGTAAGATGACTGAGGCAGCAAACGCAGGAGATGGTGTGACCTGGACACCCACATTTCAGGCTCACAGTCTCCAAATATTCGCATAACCCCATGTTGAGTTCAGATTTTCAGGCTAGGAAAATACATTTTCCTGCTCTGAATTGTTCCAGCCCTAACCAAAATGTCATCTCTGAAGAAGCTAGGGTTGCCTGTTTTACTTCTGTGGGAGCCGTGCTTTCAGGAAGCAATCAGTTCCTAGAGTAAGTAACTTTGTGGAACTCAATTACTTGCAGACGTGCTGGGGGGGAAAAAAACCAGCAATAATTAATGTGGTCAAACCCAAGCCAAATAATAAATGAAAGCTTTGTTGTCTGTCAAGGCAGAAATCAATTTCATTACGGAGCAAAGAACCGGAGATTTAATTTTGAGAAAATTCTCCAACTTGAGAAAAGAGGTTGTCAAGAAGCTGCCAGAATGAATGTCCAACATGAGAAGATTTACCCCCCAGAATCCAGACTACGAAGAACTGACAGTGACCTTTCAAAGTTCCATTTCCAAAACTTCCAAGTGTGGCCAAAGCCAGTGGGCTTTTGCCTCTTAAAATTCTTGGGCCCAGCTGGACACAGTGGCTCATGCCTGTAATCCTAGCACTTTGGGAAGCCAAGGCAGGAGGATTGCTTGAGCCTAGGAGTTCAAGACCAGCCTGGGCAACATAGTGAGATGCGGTTTCTTTTTTTTTTTTTTTTTTTTTTTTTTTGAGACGGAGTTTCGCTGTGTCGCCCAGGCTGGAGTGCAGTGGCCGGATCTCAGCTCACTGCAAGCTCCGCCTCCCGGGTTTTTACGCCATTCTCCTGCCTCAGCCTCCCGAGTAGCCGTGACTACAGGCGCCCACCACCTCGCCCGGCTAGTTTTTTGTATTTTTTAGTAGAGACGGGGTTTCACCGTGTTAGCCAGGATGGTCTCGAACTCCTGACCTCGTGATCCGCCCGTCTCGGCCTCCCAAAGTGCTGGGATTACAGGCTTGAGCCACCGCGCCCAGCCACTGAGCCACCGTGCCCGGCCACGAGATGCGGTTTCTATAAAAAAAAAAAAATTTAATTAGCTGGGCATGGTGGCTCACACCTGTAATCCTAAACTACTCAGGAGGCTGAGGCAGGAGGATCACTGAAGCCCAGGAGTTAGAGGTTACAGTGAGCTATGAATGTGCCACTGCACTCCAACCTGGGCAACAAAGCAAGACCCCCCATCCCTTCCCACCACAGAAAAACTCTCGGCCCCTGCCCCTTTTGGGGTGGTCAAGAGATGAGTGTTGCTATACCTGATGATACTTTCATGTCAATAAGACCCTGACTCTTGGGACTTTGGAGGGGCTGGAAGAGGGGGGTACTCAGGAGGTCAGCAGACCCCAAAAAGGAGTTCAGCTGAAGCTCAGGAGTGTCCGTGTTAATGACGGAGTTGTGCCCAGCCAGCAGGGCTGATGGCCAAGCTGGACAGACCCCACAGGACCCTGTTCAGTTGCTGGCTTCCACTGTGTGAGAGATGGTGACTGCCTGGGGAACGGGCAGCAGAAGTGACCAGGATGGGAAAGAGCAGGAAATTCTGCCCCAGGGGGACAGCTGGAAAAGAGCAGCCCAGGTCTTCCTGTCTGAGGGACCTTCGCAGGGCAGAAGCAGTGGACTTGGCCTGCAGGAGCTAGAGCTCGGAGCTGGGCTGACCTCAGCAAGCTGTAGTTAGTCACATTTCAGTTCAGGACATGGAAGAACTTAACAATGGGCAAAGCTGTCTGTTTGGAAGGGGTTTTCTTGGTGGGGAATGAGCTCTCTGGTGGTGGTGGTAAGTAGCAAAGCTGGACAGTAAATATTGCGGATATTACAGAGGAGTTTCCATCATCAGATGGAGCTAGAATGATGGTTCTCAAACTTGAACATGCATCAGAATTTCTTAGAGGGCGGTTTAAAACAGATTTTGGTTGCAAAGAGACCCAGGGGGCCACAGGCTTAACAAGTAAGTCTCTGGGTACTGGTGGACATTCTAGGACACACTTGAATCAACTCTTATTTTTTAAAAACCTCCACTCGTCTTCCAGCCCTGGGGCTCTGGGGTGTTTGTAATGAAGGCAAATCCTTTTGTTTAATATCCTTCCTTCCCATGTGGTGTGAGCATCTCCTATGTGCCAAGCTTCAAAGGTTGTCTCTTCATCATGTAGATGGGGGAACCAAGGCCTGAGAAGGCAGAAGCCAGGACCCCAGCACCCAGTTCTGAGCTCTTTACTTAGCTTTCAGTGGACTTCAGAGAACATTGTGTACTATTCTCCATTTCACAGATGAAGAAACTGAGGCCTGGATTCCCAAGAACTATTGGGAGTTTTTCCACCAGGAACCACAGTCGTTCATATGATTTGCAAAAGGTCCTTGGCAGGGTTTCTGGGTGGTTCCCAGCCAACCAGATGCCTTTGAAGTTGGGGAAGAAAAACCACCCTTGGGTTAGAGGCAGTGACCTTTAAGCAGCAGATCTGTCTTAATTTGCAGTTTTAAAAGGCCCCTCTGGATTTTTTTTCTTCTTTTCAAATAAAGTTTATTGTGTATAATGAAGATACACACCATGATGTTATAGAATACATATAGATAGTAAGAAGGTTACTGTAAGCTGGATGCAATACCTCATGCCAATAATCCCAGCGCTTTGGGAGGCCAAGGCAGGAGAATTGCTTGAGCCTGGGAGTTCAAGACTAACCTGGGCAGCATAGTGAAACCTCATTCCTATAGAAAGTTTTAAAAATTAGCCAGGCATGGTGGCACACCCCTGTTGTCCTAGCTACTTGGGTGGCTGAGGCAGGAGGATTGCATGAGCCCAGGCATTTGGGGTTACAAAGTGAGTTATGATTTCACCACTGCTCTCCAGCCTGGGCAACAGAGCAAAACAAAAAAGGTTCCTATAGTGAAGCAAATTAACATGTCCCCGACCTTACATTTTTAACTTTTTGTGCGTATGTGTGACTAGAGCAGCTAACATCTACTCATCTAGCATGAATCCCATATGAAGTACAATTTGTTTATTACCTGTGGTCCTCCTGTTGTGCATCAGCTCCCTAGACTTGTTCATCCTGCTTGTCTGCTCCTTTGTACCCTCTGACCTATATCTCCCCATCTCCTCCCCACCCTGCCCCAAGGACCCACTGTTTTTTTTTTCTCTATCTCTACATATTTGTATTTGTTTTAGATTCCATGTGTAAATGAGATAGATCATACAATATTTTTCTTTTTTTTTTTTTTTTTTTTTTTTGAGATGGAGCTTCGCTCTTGTTGCCCAGCCTGGAGTGCAGTGGTGCGATCTCGGCTCACTGCCACCTCTGCCTCCTGGGTTCAAGCGATTCTCCAGCCTCAGCCTCCTGAGTATCTGGGATTACAGGCATCCACCACCATGTCTGGCTAATTTTTGTATTTTTAGCAGAGACAGGGTTTCACCGTGTTGGCCAGGCTGGTC